CAATCAAAAGACAGTATCTATAGTATATGCAAAAAATTAAACAAAACTGAATATAGGAGGCAAAAATAACATAATCTCTGGTTTCTCTCTAAGGAGCATACAAAGTAGAGAAACTATATTGTTTTCATATAAAACAACTAGAGAATTAAGATAGCGTTCCATACAAGTTGTAATCATCCCATGCATTAACATGCTATTTGTATCATGTAGGCAGCCAACTCAGAAATTCAAGTTATATTACAAATGGTGACTTATTTTTACTGAATTACTTATATTTTAAAGTAGGTTTGTAAGAAGTGTTTTTGGCCTGAATTGTTTTGATACTCTAATGGACCAATTTTTCTTTGTTTATCTGCCCTTATTCTACCTCTCCTCAATTCTTCATTCCCAGCGGCCCATTTTTTAGCATTGATCACATTAAGCAGATATGCTACTATCCAATTTGCTTTGCTCTTTGTAGACAAAATGTAAATGATGTTTCTTTAAGGTCATAGTTAACTCATGTCACTAAAGGTAAAAACTAATTCTTTTAGTCCCATTCCATTTTCTTTTCAGTGTAAATCCAAATCATGCTCTAGGCAATTTTAAAAGATCAACTTAGAGTAGACTGAGGTTGAGTGTCCTCACACAGCTAAGTCCAAAAAATAGTCCTCTATCAGCTACTGAAGGTCAGCTTAGGCTGCCTGGAGGCTAAAGAGCCCAGCATGGAACAATGGCAGGAAAACAGAGTTCCCTTCATTCCTTAATTCACATGCAAGTGAGGTGCCAATCAAGTGCTGACAAGCATGGAGAAACCAAAATCAAAAGTGGGTAGAGATACACTTTCAAAAGGTGTAGTTTTCACACATTTCTATGAGATGTTTTTAATGGTGGCTGAGAACATACCACTAATAACATGGAAAAGAAAATAAAAGTAATATGAAAAATACTAATTTTATATCCACTGAGATGATTCAATAAGCTAATGAAATATATTTGCTAAAATTGTCTAATGTGTTCTAAAAGAAATATCAACAATCTCACTTTGACTAAGGAAAGAAATCTGAATGCAAATTGATGGACAGAGCACTGCAAACAGGGAAGGTAAGGTGAGTTAAGATTGGAAACTGGGCATTGACAAGGAAGCTAACTCATTTGCAAATAAAAGAAAATTTTAAGCTTGCTTGATTTTGTCAAACTAACCATCATCTACAATGACAAGAGCAAAGCACTCTGAAATGACCAAGTATGGAAGCAATGGAATCACTTCATAAAATGGCTGGTGAAAGAGACTATGAAAAAGCTTAAAAACTGCATTGTTTTTTGACAGCTAATTTCTAACAAATGAGTTTAAATTTTTAACCCCTAATATAAGGCAAAAGCAAGCTGCATTAGTTGTAGATGTTTTTCTAAATGAATTTGGTAAATGACTGTTGATTATGACTACTAATTCTATCTACCACATATAAAATAGAATTTCTTAGAAATTTAAAGCTTCGAAAACGATGTTTTAATAATGGTAGCATTATATATTGGCATTATTTTTAAATACACAGAAGAGATAGCATAGAGTAGGGATGTTACTTTTAAAATTCATTATCAATTCATAAAATAAGTAGTTCTTCCCTTTTGCTTTAATGACTGAATGCTAGGATTGTTACCAGAGCTGTCTTAACAACATCTATTTTTACTAGGATTACAGAAAGTTTAGAGAATTAGAAACTTGAGTTGTTACCATATAATGGGAATAAAAGCAGTGAAAAGCATATTTTTAGTATGACTTTTCTCATTATTATAGTCAACTGTATACTGTTTTATGAGGTTAGGCCTGATCAAATTCCAATATTTACTACCATAACTGAACACTGGTTTTGAAAATAAATCTCTTAACAACCTCTTGTATTCTTCAGGCAAATTTTAGCACTTCAAAATAGGATATAATAATAAATTATGTTCTCAGTTTTCAAAAACAACAATTAGAAAATACAAAAGCTCTACAACTACTTTGTGCTCTAAATTTAAAAGTAAGTTTTCAGATTTCTATTAGTAGTACCGTACCTTAATTTTACACTCCAAATATACGTAATTTTAACTTAATAAATGGCAAGATACATTTTAGCATGGGTCCTGACTGGTACCTGTTTTTAAACAATAAGCACTGTAAGTAATTACATGTAATATTGAAACTGTACTAGTCACACAGTTCACATCTAAAATAAATTTTCTTAAAATTCATGACCTAAAAAAGAATGTGAACTTGAATGAGGATGGTAGAAGAACAATCTCCACGCATTCAAACATAATGCTACAAACTAGCGCTGTTCCATCTATAAGGGTGTGTGTGTGTGTGTGTGTGTGTGTGTGTAGAGTCTTGAATCAGGAGTAAAATTTTATGATAATTTTTAAAAAGTTAAACTTTACTGAAATCCAAAAGATTTCATGTCTGATGTGCATAATGTACTACTGAGATAAAAAAACTAAACCGTAATTTAAGATGTCCACAACTCACTTCCTTGTAAAGTTAATATTAAATATTTTAATCCATGTAGAACAATTTCATATAATTCACATATGTTGAAAAATCCTGAGAGAATATTTGTCAACATTTTAAACACCGTGAGTTTTCCTCTAAGAATAATGGGGAGAATATTATTCAGCTTTAGGCAAAAACAAAAGGTTTAAACATATTTCAATTTTTTGTGTTGTTTAGCAATGCTATCTTTCAAAAATCCTTGAAACTAAGTAGAAACGCAATGGCCTTAAATATATTAATAAAGCATTGTCAAAAATTTATGTAAAACTTAGTGTACAATGTTATTTATTTAAAGAAATTTTTTTCAATAGGTCATAAACTACTTTTTCTTTAGCTTCCACCATCTATACACCTTCTTTACATACCCCTATCAAAGTTACTTGACAAAAAGTAGCAAATATATGAAGTTGAGATAATTGCCATTAATATTTTAAAACCTAAACAAGGTATATTACGTTAAATAGACTTCTCAGTCCTGGTGTTGCCTGTCAGATATGTGATGTGCCAGTGGTTATATTATATTCCTCCTCCCATGCATGCACCTCCTGCAGAGATAGCAGACTACAGAAGCTGACCCTTACTGAGACCATCTTGTCTCTCTGACAAAGCTCCTTTTTAACTTCTTACTTACTGGTTACTTCCTGTGATGGAGAAAAACTTTAGCTCAGCTTGTGATAATTTCACAGGCCCTGAGGACCCTGACCCTAATAGCCTCAAGGTCAGAAGTCAGGTCTTGTTCTGAAACATCTGTGTGCTTTATATTAAAGTGGAACAAAAGTGCAGAAATATCCACCAGTGTGTGACAAGAAGGACAGGCAAAATAAGACTGACACACTGGTCATCTGTTACTCTGGCATCTTAAATACATTTCTAAAACTGTCCAAAATTCACTTAAATTCCAAATTTGATGTACAAAAGGTTTTCGTTAACTGTCTTAAGGTAAAAATATGGAAATTTATGTTTTACAGAAATCTGAAATTTGAAGTCTTACAGGCCTTCAGACATATTTTAAGTTATTCTGTAAGTCATGAGATTTCATGTTTTATGTAATTTAATGGCTTACAGAAAGAAAACATAAGGTACACATATATCAGCTATATATGTGTGTGTTTGTATATATCTATATCTGTATGGTTAAAAGAACTATTTGAAAAGCAACATTCACATTTTAAAAAGGACATCATACTTGTATGTTAGAGAGCTATCTTAAGATACCCATTATGTATTAAAATAAATAAATTCAGCAGTTAAAAGTGCTTGAATATAGTTTCAAAAAAAGTGAAATCAATTTAAGAAATAAATGATTTATTTACTGATCTTAAGAGAGCACAGTATTTGTAAATTTAGGTCAGCTAAAGTGTTCTCAGGTGTCACCGCTAGCTTTATACCTAAATCATGTGGGTAAGCAATAAGGTGTGGGAAAGCTGAAAAGACCATGGAAATATATTTAATTTCCATGATGAAGAGAAATACACAGCAAAGTTTAGAAACATAAAAATTAGACAACCAGTGCTGCGCCGGTTTTTAATGTCCACTTTAGGCCATTTGGATTTAAAATTATCAAATGTACTTTTATCAAATTAACCATTTTATTAGAGCACTGGTACCTTCCTGTGACATAAGGGGTAATGGACATGGAGCACATTTTTAGGACTGATTATATATCATTAATCATTCATACCTGCACAAAGTGTGCTAACTGCAATACTGCATATAATACTGACCAAATTTAGAAATCTTGATAATTTTTTCACTATGTACACATAATCTTCACCCTAGGAATCAGATTATTTTGAAATGCAAAGATTTTTATGACCAAGCATTGAGTTCCACTTAGATTAATGGGAGCTTTCTGATAGTTTTAATACTAATTATATGGATTCTGATCAAGTACTAACTTGAAGAGATAGCAGTTTTGTCAGTTAAAGGGTCTACTGAAATTTTAAACATTTTACAGATAATAATGCTTCAACGATGTACCCATAAAACAAGAATCACAAATATAAAATGTATGGAAAGTGGGGCTATAATGTAGAAGTTAAAAAGTAATATGTATAGCGGGAAGCAGCCACAAAGCACAGGGAGACAGCTCGGTACTTTGTGACCACCTAGAGGGGTGGGATAGGGAGGGTGGGAGGGAGACGCAAGAGGGAGGAGATATGGGGATATATGCATATATATAGCTGATTCACTTTGTTATACAGCAGAAACTAACACACCATTGTAAAGCAATTATACTCCAATAAAGATGTTAAAAAAAAAAGTAATATGTAAATAAGAACAGGCAAAAAGCTTTCTGGTTAGCACTGAAAAGTTCTACCACAATAAAGAAATATACTCTTTTTAAACATCATAAAATTATTTACTCAAAATACATAATTTTCATCCTTTATAAAATAATTTAAAGTAATGACACCAAGAAAAAGGGAGTGGAGGGGATAAATCTGTAAGGAGTTTGGAAATTAGAAAGAGTTAAATATGCACTTACCAGTTCAACAAAAGCAAGTCCTCCATAGCTATGAGCAACAAAAAATACATTCTCAGCTGCAGACTGGGCTATGAAATGGTCCCACACATAGACTGCATGTTCTTCAGGAGAACCATTTTCCTATAAGTAAAACAAATATAATATATATCATACTGTATCTAATTATTATCATAGTAATCAAAAATTAAATTATATGCTTGCTTATATAGCATAAGAAATAAGATGGTTACAGCTCATTCCAAATAACAACAATACAAAAAAATTACATTGAAGATCCAAATTAGGGAATAAATTAGTATTAAACTATTAGTAAATTACTGCTAAACTTAAGTGCTACTATAATATTCTGAAAGAAAGTATTTAAAATAAGTACAGTTTTGAGGGGAAATTGCTCATTCTGGGCATATCTGAGATATTAAAATATATCTAAGTACATTAGAATTGCATAGCAGAAAGTTATAGTGGTCTTATGATAAAACAGTGTAACACTAAGAAAAATCAGATACATTTCTATATGTATACCTGAAAATACTTATAGTATGTACATACATCTAAGTTATTTGATTTATAAAGTTGTAAGTACCTCTGTAAACTGAAAATAAGCAGAAAATTAACAACAAATATTTTCAATTTATATTATTTTAAAAATACACCTTTTTCCTAAAAGAATATTCCATACATATTTTATTTCTAGAACTGGAAGAAATCTAAACATATAAACCTGGGACCTTTTATACTTCTCCTAATTTGCTAATCCCTAATAAATGTATGAATGTTGCTTTAGTTCCAAAAGTTCTATAATAACTTCATTTTATTGTGTTTATTTCTATAGTGGGCACATTTTGTGATTAAAACTCGGATAATGTGAAAAAGGAAGAAAAAGAAAAAACAAACAACCAAAGAGCTAAAAAAACCCAAACTGATAAAAACTAAAACAGATCGTGAAAATGTTTTGTGTGAATATTTCTTGGAAGCTTTAACACCAAAAGACTAATTCCCTAAGAATGTCATGGTACTAGACAATGAACACAATTTATTCATATTTTCCACCTCAGAAATTTTTAAATATCATATTAGGGTCCATATGAATGGCTTCACTTACCACTAAAAGCTGTTGTTCCCTAATGACTATCTCCACCCTGAATTTCTCTCCAGAGCTCCAGACCCAAGGTCATTTCCTTTTGAATGCCCCACAGATACTGCAAACTCAACCAATTCAACACCTTGCTAATAATTTCCTCTCCAAACCTGGGTCACTGTCTTTGCTCCCCACCT